ACAACTGTACTTCTAGATAATTGCCGGCTTTCTATTCTTTGTATACCTTTTTTCTTTTTTTCCCCCCTAGTCTTCTGACAGTGGTCTTGTTTACTAAAAGCAGATTAATCCATCTCCCTTTACTTCCTGGATCTCTGGCACATGTGACATGTGACCATGCACATCATGTCAGTGTAGGGAAAATGCCTTTCCCTGAGATCTCATGAGATTACAGATGAGATTTCCCAGTTTGTGAAATACTGTGTAGCTCGCTCCTACCGTAGCTCGACAGAGTTGGACATGTCTGGAAATGTTGCAGTTTTAAAAGCTAATAGTGTTTAAAGAAAAAAACCTGGGTGTGCATTGTGATGGACGAGCCCGGTCCGAACCCGCCGTACATCAATAACACGTGACTATATGCAGTTCCGAACCGACCGAGCCATCACAAGGACGTGGCGATACAACTCCCAGCCTCACACCACACAGAGATTTCCCAGCTCACGGGACAACAATATCAGGCCAGCAGACAGAGCGATCATCACTAGGGTTGGTTAACTCTGCAGTTAACCCTTTACACACAAAAAAGTAGCTGCCACCACGTGTTTTAAAGGAAACACGCAATGTTCTAAGAAAATGCTGTGTCAATTAAAACACAAACAAAGCCTATGGTACCACTGTCCTTTCAGACAGGAATATGACAGGTTTCACTATACAGCAGCACTCTTCACGGAGACAAGGATACTTAAGTTTGTATTTAAAGCATAGAGACAAGCTGAACTATTTTTGAGATCGTCCTTTAATAAAAGAAACGGTACAGAAAAAAAAAAATATACAGCAAAAGATATTAACAAAGAGACAGAGATAACAACAGTAAAATAAAAAGCAATGAAAATACTTACCAGTCCTGGGCTTGTAGATTCAGAAAGAGTCCAGAAGATGGATCTGCACAGCTCTTTCTCCAAATAAGGCTTGCAAAGATTCTTCCTTGATGCTAAAGGGGAACTCTTGGATGTTACACGAGACTCTTGATGTTCAAAGAGCTTCCTCTAGATGTTAAACAATAGCTTCTTTAGCTGCCTTTGCATTATCTTTTTGTCAGTCCTCTCGAGGTTATCACGGAGCCGGCCCATAAGGCAGGGCTGGAGAGGGTGAGCAGGAGGGCTAAGCCTTTATGATGTCCTCTGTTCCTCTCAAACTGTCAATTTCATAGCTGTAAACATAGTTTAATATTCTTACCCATCACTGTTTTAGGGAGCAAAAATAAAAGATCAAAGACTAAACCAATATGGTTTAATAAAACTGTAAAATGACAACTCCTAAATTATTGTACATCATGAAATTAGCTTTAGATCAAAACCAAACTTACCATGTGTGCCAATTATGGCTGGCCCAGGAGGGGTAATGTGGCCTGTCAGGCCCCTTACCACTATAACCCACACGAGTGATATACAGTATGTGTGATTTCTCTTGACGAGACAGTTATTTATGCAATTTATTTTACAAGATCACTCTGATCCAGTTATGATTTTTTAATTTGGTGTTAACTTCAGTTTATGGCTCAGGGTTGAATCTGAGTTCAGCTGGGTCATTATCCATGCCAAACCCACGTGTGTTTACTTAGATCTGTCGGATGCCAATTTATTGGTGATCAGCAAAAATGCCTGGTACCTCGCGTAGGTAATTAGTGCTGGGGACTATAAAGATCACAGGCCCAGATTAGCAGATATCGGTTTGCTGAAATTTGAGGAGGCCTAAACAAAATTAGGGGCAGCCTGGGGTCATTTGAACTAGAAAGACTGCATTTCTTCCAAGGTAAGAGAAGAGATAATTTCATACTGATTACATATGTGCAAACCTCATTACCATCACATGCATGTGGAATGTTATATATATTCTGATTTGCTGAAGCTTGCTTTATCTTTGCACCAGTTAGTGGATAAGTTGTGCTCTCCAAAATTAAAGGTATTGCTAGGACTAGACCGAGATGTTCCAATGAGTCAGTTTCAGCGATGATTTCGGACGGTACAGAATCCATTAAAAATCATTGTAATATCTGGACAGTTAAGGCCATGCTGTCTGACAAAGCCTGCGCTGACTGTTCCCTCAACAGGAGGTGTTCTAAGTATCTTCTTGCTCTATGACTAAATCCCAGCAGGGGACAAAATGCATTAGGATGACATAGGTGAAGTGTCTGTTTGCTGCTTGTGCAAAAAAGCTTGGAGGATTCAATGCGAAGAGGTACGTGGATCTACAATTGTTTGATTTCATAAAAAGGACAACACAACAGTGAAAGTTCCACATTCACAACCACACATTTCAGCCCCCAATAAACTTCTAAAAACCATAGTCTCGTAAAAAAAATAGAACACAGTCACTATGTTGGTGGTAAATAGCAGGTATTTTATTTGTAATGAAAAAGAATTAACTTAAGTACCTGACCTATTGCATTTAGTCATGTATTGTAATTGTGTTACTCTACTTTTTGCATCGGAGACAAATATACAATGAACATTCAGATATTACAGATTGCACGCTAGATAAGATTTTCTTCCAGGCCGTGAACATTTAACCACCAAAAAAACATACTGTAATACAGTACAAAATTCCACACTCTAGCCTCAGCCAGTTATTATCAAACTTCTTCTGCTGCCATGTAAATCAATGGCGGTGTTTATGGGCGTACAAATTAATAACAGGACGAAGAAAAAAAAATATACATCGCACTGACACAAAAAGTCAGCTCTGTTAATTACTCATGCAACAAGTAACAAAACTTGCTGAAATGAAAAATACTTTCTAAAAACTTTTTTTTTGTTTTTTTTGCTTCTTTTGACTGCATAAATATTTAATACACAGTTGTTTTATGTTACTGAAATCAAATGAATTTCAAAATAATACAGAACAAAAATAAAATTTGGCTGCTACTGCTATTTTACATAAAGGTGCAAAATGGTTTATCGATCGTGTTCTGCTAGTTGGACCTCTCATACAACAACGCCTGTTCTATTGGTAAGCATGACGATACAACTAGAGTACAACCTACAGGTACACTTGAACGTACATGGGTGCTTGTGACGAGCTGCAAGGCAGAACAAAGTGGCAATGAAATAACAGACAAGTGACCGCTCAAATGTCCTGGTGCAAACTGCCTTGAGATGGTCAGCACATACAGTACATATAGCTACCAGACTGTGATACGCCCCACCCAATCTACCCAAATTTAGGCAAATCACACCAACCTTTGCCAAGTCATGGGAGTGTGAAAAGCAGGACATGAGTACTGCCAAAATAGGGAGGCATGCATACGTTTCATTTTCTGTACATAAAAAAGGGCCATACCCTGCCAGATTCTGTTCCCTGCCCTGATTTCTTGTGCCTCTTGCACTTCTTGGAAATATTATTAGCATTTCCCAATGTCTAAGCATTCCAGAGACAGTAGGAAATGACCGAGCCCGCCTTATAATCTGAAAGCTAGGGGCACAACTGGAAAGACCTGTACTGCAGGGCTATCCAGAACTGCAGAACCAAGGCGTGGAATAGAAATGCTGCAAGATTCTGACATGCTCTCTGTCGCCCACTAGTGATAGCTCATGGCATTCTCTCTCACGCATAAATCCCGACAGCTTTCCTATTTGCCCCCCTCTTCGATAAATGCGGAATTTGAATGAATGAAATGGTGACCTAACATTTGTTAAAAAATTGTTCTTTACATTAAAAATGTCCGTGTTATCGAAAAACAATAAATAATGGCTAATTATGTTAATTCCCAATATATTGCTTTTTTGGTGTAATTAAGCTTGCTTATCTCAATTTCATAAGAGTTAAATAAAGCCCTTTTAAAATCATTAAATCCAGCAACACTTTGCCACAGTCCAGTCATTTAAAATTGTAAACAATACATTTAGCTACTCTGTTCGGGAATGGCCTGTGTATAGGAAACGCGCTTGGATTTCAAGATTAGCTGTATTGGCTAATTTGGCTAAAACAGTAGTAACCTTTTTGTGGTTTAAGGCCACACTATGTGGGCGGGGGGGGGATTTTTTTTTTCTATGTATGGAACATATTACGAAGAAACCCTCAGCAGCCGCACAAATGAAATATGGCTTTTGCTGAAGAGAAAATCTATTAAATTTGGGCAACATAAAAATAAACCCCCCACTAGTCTGCACTGCTTCTTGTGGACAAATTCATACTTTGCACTGCGTGTTCATTCAAGGCATTTTTTATATTTTTTTCATGCAAACAAGATTGGACTGCGCTGAGGTTGGGTCATGTGTCCTGTGCAAAAGGGAACCTACAATACTGGTAAATTCATTGCCCCCATGTTTCACAGGGATTATACATATACAGGTAAAAACATGTGAAGGTATAATATCTAATTCAGTGCACAGCTCGAAAATCGATTACATGCACAGATTGAGTGTGTTTAACCATACGGAGGTACTGAGCGTTTTACTAAAGCTGAATCTAACTGTCGCTTGCGCTGTTTCTTTGGCAGTCACAGTGCACACTAGTAATGTATTGATACCGAGACTTTAGTAAATGACTCATAATGCTCGACACTGGGCTGGGCCGCAAGTGGGGGCATATAGAAAAGCTTGGAAACATGTACATGTTTAAGGAAGTTGAATAAAACAAGGGTACAGACAAAGATATATTGATCTTCTATTTCTTGTGTTTATCAATTTTAGTCCCATGTAACAGGCAATTATAATAAAAAGGCCAATATTGTATTTACAATAATCTGTACATGACTGCGAGTCTGGTTTTTTTTTTTTCTTCGTATGCGGCTTATTTGTCCAAAGAAAGCTATCTAATAGGTTACTTGTAAGGATGGGCAGCTCAATGAAACAAACACAAGGAACTATGGGAGCTGTTGGTTGGGTGCTTTCTTCAGCCAGCAGACATAGCAGCAGAACTATATATATATTTATAGATGTCTGAAAGCTCACCATCGTCCTCAAGAGTCCAGTCTTTAGCGACTTAAAATACAATTTGTATGCGAGCCGAGTGATCCCTTTTTTTCTTGCAGTGCTTAAAACATAATTCAAGGTTGCATGTAAACTCATTTTTTTTTTAATTGTTCAAAGTTTCAGTTGTTAACGTTGGTAATAGAACAAGGAAGGGCTCCATGTAGTAATGAAGATGGCCAAATGTGTTCTAGTTCCTTGAAGACTCCTCAGAGCCCCGTTCATGCTGTAAATTATAGTAACAGTTCTGACACACTCGCACTGGTGAAGAAATCTTCAGGCGCTTGATCTCAGATTGGAATCGGCTGCACCTATGAAATAAAAAGGTATTTTATTAGCAACTGTTTGTGGTAGTTCATTGGAAAGTCCACTATTAACATAAACAAATTGGACCAATTGTTCAACAGAAATTACTCAGAAATGTATCTGGAAAAAAAAAAAAAGGTCAAGGCAACTGGATTTGCTGTATTTTTCCGACTTATTTTTCCAGTTGCCTTGACTTATTTTTTACAGATATACCATGACCTGGATGAATGAGAACCTTCACGGACACACTCAGAAATGGTAGTGAATCCTGCATCACATACTTATAAATATAAATTGCTTAATGTTTTTTGTTCAACTTTGAGCCATAAACTGGACTTTTGTACTGGATTTACAGTGCATAGAAATATTCCCCATCGTTTGGGTTCACAACATGAGACATTAGCCGGGTATATGCTGTGCTTCATTTACAGAGCAGAACACAGACATCCAAAGGTGGCCATACGCCTGCCGATTATTCTACGATCGTACAATAATCCGCAGGTGTATGGAAGGCGTGCGACCGTTTCTACTGTACGGTAGCACGTCTTTTGTCTTCCGAGCACGCTGGAAAACCTGCCGAGAATCGTACGATTTTCGGCGGGTTAGTGGCCGAACGGGCCGGTGTGCACTCAGCATTGTAATAATCGGAAGCCCTCCCCTCAGCGGGGCGGGCTTGCGATGATCGCAAGTACGATCTGCCTGTCCAAGATGAGCACGTCGTATAATATTTTAATTACCTTACAACCATCGCACGATGAAAGTCGTGCGATGGTTGTAAGGTGCATGGCCAGCTTAAGGGAAATCTAACAAAACACCTCACCACACTGATTGGCTGGGGTCCAGAAAGTAGGAATAAATGTTTTTGTGGAGATGTATGCATATGCAAGTATCACAGATATTTCACAGACATATAAAAGGCTAGAAGAAACATTACTTACTTTTGACAAAAAAGCTGGCCACAGTTCCTACAGTGATGTCGCCTCTCTGTTAAGGAAAACCTCACGGCACATCCTGAACAGCTGTCCATTCCTTCATCCTTTACCCAGTGGTCAGCAGCAGATCGCCCTGGTTGATCGCTTACAGACCAGCTGAACACCCGCCCTCTGCCGTCACCAACCAGAATCCTGCTGTGATCCCTGTTGACACAAAACAGAGCAATGGGTTAAAGAGCAGTATTATCAATCACCAGCCAGTTAAAACATTATATACTCACCAGTTATGGCTAACTACTAGTTCTTAATTATTCGTTTTTTTTTTATTTATTATGTCCACATGGGAAGGAGCTTGCCACAACAGTGGATGCCACCGTGTATGAAACAGTGGCCACTAGAAGATACAGGTGAGATGGCTGATACAAAGGTAAGTACTGCTTCCCTAATTCACCATTTTTCATCCAGGGAGTGTGAGAAAAATAGGAATTTTGTCTTCCCTGTAAAACTCTTTCTTAATCATACATCACAGGACATAGAATGTTATTCTTAGACCTCTGGGATGTCCAAAAACAGTACAACTGAGAGATGTGCAACTGAACAACCAAGTCAACAGGCCCACAACCCCACAGGGTAACAGAGGTGGCTAAGTAGCCTGCAGAACCTTGTGGCCGTAGTTGCCATGAGCTGGGGCCTGAATACCCACTTGGTAAAACTAAATAAAGTAGGAGCAGAAACCAGGAGACAGAGTGCATCTAGGCTGGGAAAGGTGGAACTTTGCCCCAGAGGTCATAAGCCAGGTAAATGAGCTCCCAAGTACTCCAATGAAGGCAGAATGAGAAGAAGGCTGTCCCCTATGGGGACCTACCAGGACAACAAAACAGAGAGCTGGACTGACAAGAAAGAGTAGCAGCTGAGGGATAAACTTAAACAGCACGCACCCCACCCAGACACTGCAAAGAATAGAGGATTGCTAGGTCTGGTGCCCGATCTACTCAGTTTGTGGCTGAACCTAGAATCCAGTAAGTCTAAGTCCTGCATCCCTCTACCTGTGACAGAGGACTTAAACACCTCAGACTAAGGAAACCATCCTCTGGAGTCCTGATGTTGACAACTGAAAATATTCGCCTTTCAAGTTTCCACGTCTGGGACAGCCATAGCAGTCAAGTCTGGGATTTCTGTGCAGGCCAAAAGCAGATCGCTTTCATGTATTGTTTGCGAAACATCAGATTTCTCCTTGAAGGATGATGTAAGTCACTGCTGTGCTATAGATCATTTGAATCCTGGTTTGATGATCTTATAGATGTGAAGTCCAACAGTGAAGGGATAACTGAAGCGGTTTGAGCTCTGGAATGCTGATCGGGAGACAGGTTTCCTCAGACAACCAGGTCCCCTGCCAGATAGGTTGATATCTGTCACCTACTAAACAATTGAGAGGAAGGATTTTCCCTACTCCTGTTGAATTTGTGACCCACCCTCTTGCCCCACGCTGCCAGAATGGTGAGCTCCAATGGTCTGGGGTTAAGGAGTACATGGGGCTGCTTCCAAAGAGGACAGCCTTTAGAACGCAAAAACCTGCATGCAAAAATGCACGGACAGTTAGCTGCTGAACTGGAGAGTCTGGAGCTGGTCCAGGGGGAAAATACATTGAACAGGGTTGTGTCTAAAAATCAGACTCAGATACTCCAGCACTGAGTTGAGGAGATTCAGGATCCTTCTGGATTTCTGTAGGGTCTGCACAGTCTGATGGATGGTGGCTGAATGAATTGGAGTTGATTAATCCTTCAGAAGAAGGTAGAATATCCCACTGAGGAAATACCCTGCAGTTAAAGCAGAGCAAGAACAGGGGCTGGTGCTTTGTAAGACTTGAGAAGCAGAGGCCAGGCCCTAGAAAAGTCCACAATTTGGAAAGGTTGTCCACCCACAGCAGAAAATGCAGATTGTGTAGAAGAGCCAGGAAGATGGGGACATGCAAGCGGACATCACCGACTTCCACAGAGGCCAGAAGATCTCCTGGGCGGGGGGAAGTAATGACAGACCTGGCGGATTCCATGTGGAAATTTTCTACCCGATCCACAAGCTGCTAACTTGTGCCGCAGTGGCTGTGTAAAGGAAAAGGGTAGATTTTCTCAAAGCAGAGAATAAAACATCCATTTCCTAAGGACACCAGCAAAAAACATAGGCTTACTAGGGGTTAGAAGGGTTATACTGGGCTGTCCTTACAGTTCTAGTCTCCTGAAGGTGTCAGTATAATCCAGTATATCGATGTGGATACTAGCTGCACACCATACAGTGTTGTGCCAGTAGTAAGCGAGATGGCGTGCACAGTGAATGCAGCTCCAGTATTTGAAGATAAGTTATCAGTACCATCACTGTGCCGCCTTAAGGAGAAGACACTGTCTGGCCCTGAAATGATTGCACTTTAAATTGCTGTGTGCTAGTGACTTATCTTCAAAGACCTGAGCATAACCCAGTGGTCTAAGAATATCCTCCAGTGTTCTGAGATGTGTGATTAGGAAACACCTTTTAATTAAGTGTAGGTACTTTTTAAAGTCCCCTAATTATAACGAATACATAAACTTAGAAAGGCAACAGGAAAAACTCTAAGATAGCCACACGTTGGCTCGTTGGATGGCTTTCACTCTAATGTAGCTCTGGGTATAGGAGGCAAGTCATGGATACAGCCCAAAGACATACAAGTACAAGTATGAAAGTACTATTTTAATTATACATTCTATACATGCAGCTGGGCATACAGTATTGTATGTTTATGGTTCATAGGCAACAACTTAATGAGTAAAGAAAGCAAACAACAAAAGCGTTGAATAGCTAGAGCTGACAGTTTAAGCTTTAGAAAATAGCATATGACTGAGAGCTGAAAACATCCACGCCACACCCATGCTCTAACCTTCCATCGCACAGCATGCACATGGGGATACATCAGTTTATACAGTAGTAAGAATCCAGCAGATATCCTGCCAAGTGGTCTGTTTCATATGGTCACAGCCAATCTTAAAACTATAACCTGGGTAGCTGAAAGCTGAACGCCAGGCAAAAATAAAATACACAAATTAATGCAGCTCTGTAACCATTAACACATCATTAAAAGGAGAACTATGAGGTGAGTGAAAATCACTCACCCTCATAGTTCGAACAGACATGTGACAATGAAACTGTCACACGTTGGCTCAATAGATCGGGAAGTGAGCGAACACATACCGCCGCTCGCTCACTTCTCGATCTATCCCTGCAGACAGCCGTGTGACTGTCACTCACGGCTCCCTGCAGGGATCCCCCCCCCCTGACAGTAATGTCGGGATCCGTCCCGACTGCGGCGGTCTCATTATACCGCGAGCTGTAGCTCACGATATACTGAGCTTTGGGTGACGGGAAGACGCTAGTTTGTGTCCTCCCGTTACCCTTAGGAGAACTATGGGGAAAGGCCCTGACCCCATAATTCTCCTTTAAATGAATTCTTTAGATGTTAGTCCCTGAATGTGACTAGGCACCATTATCCTGTGGGCCCTGTACAGCTCAGTTCAGAGAGTTGGAGGGAGAAACCACACAAGGAGCCAAAGAGGTGTGCTGCAGTGCAAGAAGAGTTTAAGAATTCAAAATATGAGTGTTTTTGGAAATGATTGGTTGGGTAAGGTTTGTCCATCCTCCAAATACATATCCATCAGAACATCACAGAGTTTCTCCCTGATTTAAGGGGTGTTTGGATGTGGCAGTTATGACAGTAAAAGATGATTATCCCCAGCACTCAAACTGACAGAAGTGATGCAAAAGTTGTTTCTGAAGGGCTTAGCCCAGCAAGACCTTATATGAAATGTCCATGTAACGTTAAAAAATATCATCTCTGTGCCCATGCATGATTTATAGTATTCATCTTAACTCACTTGGATATTCCCAGTGCAGTTATATCTGCAGGATGTGCATTGTCTTTCCTGTCAAATGCTGTGTGCATAGTGAGCTTGCTTCGAAATACTAACTGTCGCTCCCATCTGTATCCTGCAACAAAGAAAAAAAGGGAACTTGTTTACAGAGCACAGCTAAATACAGCGACATACAAGATCAATGCAATACATGGAATCCATCCACAATGTTCAGTGCGTACTGCTTATTATGGATACTGAAAATTTAGCAATGGTACTTTTACTGACAGAAGTATGATTTTAAAGGCTTTAACAACAACCAATGTATTCAACAGGAAGGGCAGAAAAGGTCAATTATAACATCATTGCCTCTCAAACAGTGTTTGCTGGAGGAAGTCTGCTGTAGGTAAAAAGAAACTGCTTACCTGTTTTCAGTTTGTTATAGTGGCGGACTTCCTGCTGGCTTGTCTGGGCACTGCTCTGAGCTTGTGGGAACTGTTTTAAATGGCCTTCAGAATAGTTTACCACTATAAAGCCGTCTTTTTCATCCAGACTCAGCTGATCCGACCAGCGCCTGGAGTCATCAGATCCGCTATCCCCAGACCATGCTGCCAAGCCAGCCCTGGCAGAGCATGCCCTTGTCCGAGGCACAACATTGCTAGGCTGAGCTTGGCTTTCCTTTGATGCAGCGTCCTGACTGGAGCTTTGATCTTCTATATCAGAGTCACTGCTGTCATCATCCTGAGCTTCGGGTCCTGTAAGCAAACAATGGTGATGGCTGTCAGTCATCTGCTGGCTCAAAGTTATGAAGACTGCTTCGTGTAGAGAAATGCAGGAAAGAAATACCTAAATGTGTATCTGAGCACTCATCTGGCAACTCCATGGCATCTGCAGGATCTGGAGCTGGTGTCTCTGGCACTTGTAAAAACTCCATCCTCCAAAACTATAAGCAAAAGGTAGCAAAGGAACAAAATTATAATTTATGTTTTTTTATAAGTGCTTTTTATATACTTCAGGTTTATTTATACATCAGCTTTTCAATAGTACTGCATTGTCCTGGAGACTGATTGGCCAGCGCAATAACCTCCTGCACAAAGCCTTTACAACTGGACAGCTTAACTGGAAAGAAAAGCTTCACAAAGCTTCCTAAGGGCTCATTGTAATTACTCCCTAACGAGAACACAGTCAGCTGGCAGTTGACATTTAACTGGACTGGAGTCAGTCTCTTGGCAAAAATTAAAACACGCACAGCAGCTTTCCGATCCCAATTAAAAACCTGCCAAGTTACTTGGGGGATAGGGGTTCGGGGGTTACTATATGTTGGTCCTAGGAAATTGACCTATGGTATTTGATATATTGTTTTGGATATCTATATCTCTTTGTGAATACTTGTGTGACAAATTCTTGGAGAACATTTTTGTAATAAAATATGTTTAAAAAAAAAAAACCTGCCAAGTTCAAGCATAAGTATAGCATCACTACATACACTACCACCACCAATATGTAAAGAGCATTGATGAGCAATACCGCATGCTAATCAGATACTATGGCAGTCAGAGTTTAAATACAGTCTCCAGGCTTAATAGCGGATGCGTTATAGCTGGCTGTAATGGGTCAGTTTTTTTAACTAAACATCAACAAATGAGGCAATTATGTGTTAATACACAAGATAGGGAAACTATACATTACAATAAATAGCTTTATTAGGGATGCACCAATATCCTTATTTCAGTATCAAGTACGAATACCGATATTTATATTTCAGCACTCACCGATACCGGTACATCCACTAGCATGGAGCTGGCTACCCAGGCAATCAAGAAGCTGGGCAGCAGGTAATGAAACACTGCCCGGATTTTTGATTGCCCGGGAAGATGGCTTCCCAGCCAAACAGCATGGAGCCGGCTTCACTGCCAATGGGGAAGCTGGGCAGCGGGTCCGGCTTCCCGATTGGCTGGGGACCCAGCTCCATGTACCCTCATGGCTCCGCCGGTCAGAGAAAATCTCCCTCTGACTGTAAGTTCTGGTATCGGGGGTATACATCAGAGCATTTGGGCGAGTATGAGTATCTAGCATCGGTAACGGTGCATCCCTATTAGTTTAGAGGTATTAATGGCAGTTCTTATTCGATATCAATATTTACTTACACGAACCACTCCATCGGAATGTCCTGTGACAATGACATTCTGGGTGTCCCATTCGTTCATTTCAGACACACAGCAACATAGTATCTGTTGGCTTCTTCCAGTGAAGGTGTTCACACTGACAATGGGATTGCCATTTATACTCCATACGTGTATATATGTGCCAGCACAGGACACAATGTCACCCTGCAAAAAAAGAGATTGTAACTTTCACACAAGAGCTTCCAAAATGAATACACACACCAAAAAAAAAAAAATTGATTTGCTTACACCTTTCCTGGGCATTATACTATTAATTGATAAGTAGCTGCAATCAGACAACTGTCGCACCTTATTCTAAAGAATTCGCATTTTATATTTCAAAGGTCAATCATTGAAGCCTAAAGTGACACTAAACTCGGGAGTAAAATCTTAAAAATGCATTCAAGTACCTGAACCAATAACAAAATTGTATCTTGTGTGTCACTCGGCTGCAGATCCTCAAATCATCTCTGAATTCATGCTGACACTGTCCTTCCTTCTGGAGAGTGGTTACTTTTGTTCCCCATGGTCCCTGTGTGTGTTGTAAAGTAGCCACCGCTCCAAGCTCACTCCTGTGATGGACTACAATCTCAAGTTTAGTTTACTAATCTGTATTGAGCTTGGAGATTGAACTTCTGAGTTTAGCGTCAGTTTAAGTTCATTTGCGAAACATCTAAAATTAACAGTGTAACCTCATTTAGAGAAGTTAATGGCACAAATTCAAATAGAAAATTATATATGAAACGTTGCCATTCCTCAGTATTAGTGAATGGCAACTCTGATCCTCCACTTCAGGACAGATTAACCTGATGAAGTGCCTAGGCTTTTAATCACGTGAAAAGTGCTGGAGGGAGCCGCACTGTCTAAAGAAAAGTTATAACGTATATCAGCCCTTCTGTGGGCCATTATTATTCACCACAGTGAGGATGTTAACATTTGAGCATAGGTCAACTTTAAGAAGCATGGAAAGGCGAGGTGTGATTTTAGTACAGTTCTGCCATGCAGAAAAAATTTTTTTTTAATTTCAAAAGGATAATTATTCAAAGCCTGGAACTGTCCTTAGAAATGTGGAACAGCTAGCAACTAAGGTGACCTCACTTTATGGCCTATATCACAGAGAAAACGAAGAAGTGATTACTGAAGTGAAATGTAACACAAGTAAAGTTATATGCTCGTTGCAAACAGTAAGCAGAACTGAATTTGCACATATATGTGTAAAAAAAAACAAAACATTTTTTTTGTATTATGGAATAGAGTTAAAACATGTAATGTAATGATATACTCAAATACTATGTTCCTTTTTTTTTTTTTTTATTCACCTATTTATATTTTTCTCTACATCAAAATGCAGACCAAGATGACCAGCAAAACTCTCAAGTCAAGATTAAATCCTGCCTCTCACCTTGCTATCTGAAATTCCAATGTCTGTCTGAACTGCCCATACCAAATGGGGGCTGAACTTAATCTTAACTTGGGCAAAAAGGTCTCATGTACAACATGGGCCTTGGAACCATGGTGAAGCCACCAGAATGCAGAAGACTAGACTTCAGCACTAATTTAAGCTGTGTGAAGAAAAGGTGACCAGTGCAATGGTTTACTTTGTCCCAACCCGTCATTTGTACACAGCATATAGATGAGAGATTCAAAAAGAAATTGATATATTAAAATATTATTATTACTACACATGTACTAATCACATCTGAATACACACATTAGGACATATTTCACTGTAGTGGTTCTTTCAAATAAGACTATATATAAATGTACATACCAACTGCACCCTTATGCCAACACTTACCGTTAACTCATTTATACAAAGAGCTGACACAGGAGCTCTGTGTCCACGTAACTGGGTTACAAATGCCAGCTTGTTCAGGTCCCAGATAATGCATGTTCGGTCACGTGATCCACTTACAACTATATGATAGGCCAGAGAAGCAGTCAAACAGGTCACTGTTTCGGTATGCCCAATCAAAGCCTGGAAAATATGGAATGGAACACGTGCTCACATTTTCATACATGACAAGTATTATAAACTGAACAATTACCAGATTGTGATTGCATGTCCTCAGGTTGAGTGAAATCCATTAGGGTACTTTTTCTGCACAAAAAGTGTCAAAAAGTGAGATTCTTCCAATAAATGTCATCCATGACCTAATAGTCCATGGACATTTGACCATTTCATGTTTCATTGCTGAATTAATACATAACCATTCCCGTATCAATTAAACAGATGAAGGGGAGGGGGTCTACACTGGCCCAATTTTTTTCATCATTGCCCTATAAAAAGAAAAGGTGTGTCTGAAGAAGCTAAATTCTTGTAGATCTTGTCAAAATAACGAATTATTCCCCAAAAAAGACGGACAAGGGTGTTTCTTAGTGTAACCCTTGCATTCGGAATGGATCTGAACTGGACTCCACAAAATACAGCAGAAATAAAGCAGGATGCAATGACAAACAATGGTTTTCTCACCCTTATGACACATGATGCCACTAACCTGTTTCAGAGTGAGGGCTTTAGCTTTCTCCTTTGAGGTCCCGACTTCCCATACACAAATCACTGTACTTGTTCCTCCAGTGATCACTAGTTTGGGGTTTGGACAAATGGCGCACAAGATCTGGCCCCATTCAGATAAACATTCATAGACAACAACTGCCTGCAATGCAAAGCAAAATAAATCCAGTCATGTAATGTCATTGCTGGCAGCCATCACAATTACTGCCTGGTGCAAATCAGATATTGGGAGATCTCAATTCTGGGAGCACTGACCCATGACATCACTGAGCTACACCCAAGGCAGAATTCAAATCTATATATTGTAAATCAGCTGGAAAGTGTGTTGCAGTATTTCTGCTGTTCAAACGACAGCCCATGAACAGAACAAATCTTCTAACGCAGCCGGTCTAGTTGCTTACCTAATCAAATACTTTAGTATCAATTGTAAAGGTAATACATCATCACTATTGAAGAGTTAGTGTGTCACAAACCTTGTCGGACTCGTAGGTTCCCAGCCTGCAGCTGAGGTCTGCATAGCCCCATGCAAAAGTCTTGTTCCATGCCGGAGGAATGAGGAACTTGTTTTGTTCTACAGACAGGATCCCTTTATCTGTACAAACAATCTGACCCACAGGCTCCTTCAGTTCTTGAAAAAGAAAAAGTAAATAGTATTATTAACGACACAAAGATAATAGCCATCAAATGTCCGAGAAAACATTAGAAGAATCTTATGACAGCAGTTATACACTGCTCAATAATATAGTACAAATTTGTTTTTCTTACCAGCAAGTGGGCCCATTTAAAAGGAGAATTATGAGGCAAGTGATTTTCACTCAGCCTCATAATCTGAGCCGACCTGTGACAATGAAACTGTCACAGGTCGGCTCAGTAGATCGGGAAGTGAGCGAACACATAGCGTCGCTCGCTCCTTCTCGATCCTGTCCCTGCAGAGAGCAGTGACTGCCACTCATGGCTCCCTGCAGGGATTCCTCCCCCCCTCCCATCTGATCCTCCAGCGCTGACTGGCGTAACGAATGGGGGAGGGGGCGGGCAGAGCTGGCTCTGCCTCTGGATAGGCAGAGCCAGCTGTCAATCCCGCAGCTGGGTTTATCTCAACAGCAATGTCAGGATCCGTTCCGGCGTCTCAGAATACCGCGAGCTGTAGCTCGCGTTACACTGAGCTTTGGGTCATGGGAGGACGCTAGTTTGTGTCCTCCCGTTACCCTTAAGAGAACTATGGGGAAAGGCCCTGACCCCATAGTTCTCCTTTAACAAAACTAAAGCACTACATTGTACAAAACATTTGACTAAAGTAAATGGTTTAGAAAACCACAGCTCCCACTTAAGGATAAGACTTCCGAACAGTGTAGTGTGAATATCATACCTTTGACTGGAGCCAAAGAAGGCCTTAAGTTGTCCAAATGATGAAAAAATATCTTATCACACGCAGACCCCAGTGGCATGGATATTGATGACGTGTCTCCGTTTACCCTGCTTCTGACACGTTTTGGTGGATGTGGCTTTTTAAACAACTGTTGGAAACAAGATAGATACATTGTCGAGAATTATGGTGTAAAATGTTCAACTTCTTGAAATAGAAAAATACAAATTTCAGTTTATATTGTGTATCTGCACAATATTTTATTAATATGTCTTGTGTATTTGCACAATATTTTATTGATCTGTATCTGCACAATATTTTATTGATGTGTGTTTGCACAATATTTTATTGATGTGTGTTTGCACAATATTTTATTGATGTGTGTTTGCACAATATTTTATTGATGTGTGTTTGCACAATATTTTATTGATGTGTGTTTGCACAATATTTTATTGATCTGTATCTGCACAATATTTTATTGATGTGTGTTTGCACAATATTTTATTGATGTGTGTTTGCACAATATTTTATTGATGTGTATCTGCACAATATTTTATTGATGTGTATCTGCACAATATTTTATTGATGTGTATCTGAACAATATTTTATTGATGTGTATCTGAACAATATTTTAATGTGTATTGCTTATCTGCACAATATGTTATTATAAAGTATTGTGTCAATCTAAACACCGAGTTCAACTATTCCTGCCACAAGAAACATCCTGTTCACTCAGATCACCAGGGCAAAAAATTGTTACGAGCAGCAAAAAAAAAAAAAGTCATAGTAATATTTGTACATGTGCACACCAGTACTTTATGCTCAGTAAGTGTTCACAGCTTCGAAGAGAAGGGTCCACATCATACCAACAAGACAACAGCACTGGCATAGTATGGGATTGTGTTGCAGACTACACAGCCCAAATATATATATAAAAATAAAAGCAAAATGCAACATGAAAGCACTTCCCTTTTTCTACATTTACCTGCTTTGGTATCTGTCCAAAATTGTTAATAAAGCCTATAGTAGCAGTCTCTTTCAGTGGGTCATTAATGTTGTAGATGTCCACTTGTCCCTCGTAGAAGAGGTGGTGAAAGACATTGACAGAATCTACAGCAGCGGGTCCCTGTTGCTTGTATCCGAAGATCAGGTCTATCCATTCATGCAGGTGGGCACTGACGTAGTCACATTCCAGAGCCTGAATAAACAGAAACAGCCTTTATACACAAGTCTGTGGCAAATCCTGCACATTTTTCCTTTGTAAATTCCATGAAAAGGTACAATTACTATCTGAATAGTAGTGAATTCGGAGATTTTACTTGTGAAATATAAAACTAGCTTTAAGCCATATTTTAGCACTTAATATACAATATGACTGTGAATTCAGTATATACATAAAATCTGTTCCATTAAGCTGACGTTTTCGCTAAGTATCATAGTATTTGTATTCACACTTGTAGAAGCTAAAAATAATTACGGTAATGATAACGTACTATAAACATATTAGAAATGTACTAAAAGTGTATTCTACAGACCCACATGATTTTGTCCTGAATACTGAGACCTGACCCAAACCAAGTACTAGCATACTGTAGCAGTGATGAGTAATACTCTCTATTTGTGGAACAGCTCTGATGCAGGGCTCAAGTACTAATAAAAAGCAACTCAGCAAAAACATCCATTTAAATATCTCCCTGAACAGTATTGCAGCATAGATCAGTTCATTGAACGATTGAGTTCACATATGGCATTGTTTTTCTATTTACCTCTCTGTGCACTCGAATAAATTCCCGCGGGTCACCTTTTGCCCATGGGGGTAGAATTACATCACCCAGTTTTGTTCCATTTTGTTTATAGCCTATATGAAAATAAACTTAAATTGTATTAACAGCATCCCTCAAATGAAACATGACATTAACATTTTACGTCTGAATTGCTTTACATCTGTAGCAATGAACACTGGTTTTCTACTAAAATGAGAGGGATTGTATAGGGCATATTTGGAGTCATTATTGCAGTGTTTACCTTAATCTCTTCTATCAAGTATGCATTTTACTAGCCTGTTTTTCCAGGTCTTTGCTATTGCATTACGAAGGGATTTAGAGAAGAGTCAGTTCTTGCAATTACCCTGTCACTCTCAACAACTGTTGAGGCAAGGTATCAGACACATAAGAAGTGCACTCTATGTGGTGAGAATTAGGCTGGCCAACTCTGCTGGCATTTCAACCGTTTCCTGAGAAATTTGCCAAAATATGATCCATGGGTGGCCCCTATCATCACCACCCGACTTGACAAAATTCAATATTTCAACTACCTTTTTCGAAGCAGAAAGATGAACAATTGAACAGTGTTGGTTGCTTGGTGTACACTAAAAAACTGTGTAAGCAACTAAATGTATTTAACTAGGAGCGATCAGGGGTGTCCCCAGGTGTGGTGTTACCCGGAGTGGCCACTGGGTGACACCCTGCTGGGACGTCTTCACCCATGTGCCTGACGTCATTACACACGTAATGACGTCATGCATGCTTACCTGGGGACGTTCACCCTGTGGGATAAGGTACGCTGCCGGGTTACCTCCTCTCTTGTGCAACTGTCAGGCTCTCAGTACATGACCGAGTGCCCGACTTTTCAGAGGGGGTGACACCAAAATTATAGTCAGTCATTTTTGTGTCACCCACTTTGATGGTGTCACTCTGTGTGGGCCACAACCCCTCGCCCACCTTGTGACGCTACTGGGAGTGATAACTTGGAGTTTATTTTATAATGTTATGGGAAGATTTCTGTTGAAATGAATGGTCTGGTGGCAGGGTCTCCAACAGCTGCTTTAAAACTCTGATGTTACAAAAAAAAAACTCATACCAAGATCAAAGTTGTTGGAGTTGAGAAGAAACTCTGGAAGATAAAAGAACTCCGGAATTAGCTCCTTCACGTCAGCCATGTTGTGCTTTGATGCAGAGTACCAAGCCTCCCGTACACTGTGAAACATCCGATCAGCCAAGTCAAAGTGCCCACCCTGTTGCAAAAAATATGGACAGATGGTACACAAGCTTTACAGCTGACACAACTGAACTTTCTTGTTAGGGTGCCTAGCATATAAAGTTTACTAAAAGACAGAACATTTGAAATGGCCAAATGCTCCTCATTATTAGAGATAGTCTAGTGCAGTGGTTCTCAACCTGTGTAACCTCAAGACCCACATTTGTCCTTGGTCATTAAGTTGTGACCCAGATCGCACTGGAATGCACAGGATTCTGGTACCGTGCATTCAGGTGCGGGCAATCGAATTGTGGGTGGGAGGTGCGTTTGGGGTGCCATTCAAATGAATGGCAATGCAACACACCTCCCACACCAGAACATGTGGTAAGCCCACCCAGTCTCCCTACCTTCCAAGAACTGGAGTAGGTCCTCAGCCTGTGGTCCAGTGTGGGCTGCTGTCCTGTGACGGAGCTCCATCCATATGTGCATTGCTTGTACAGCTCCCTTGTGCACCCTGTAGAGGTGTCAGGTGCCAGAATGTGATGTCACCCCGGTCCAGGCACCACTACAGGACATGTGAGGGAGCTGTAAGCAATGTATGTATGGATGGAGTTCCCTCATGGCCATAGCCCCATCCCACCTCAAGCTGACACTCCGCGCCGGGCAGCATATTTTGAATGGGTGTTTGGTGCGAGAACTGACAGTGCTGCGCTAGGGGGAGGCAGAGGAGCCTCTCACCAAGAAAAGTTGAAGGCATGTGGCGACCCACTGAACACGGGGTCGCGACCCACTTTTGGGTCACGACCCACCATTTGAGAACCAAGTGTATTGTTCTTCTCTATATCTTTGCCTTCCCAAATGAATAAATATCACCTGTGGACTTTGCGCAGAAATTGCCTACAAGCTTGGGGGTAAGTTATTTTTAGTTTTATGCAGAGAGAGAATGTATGTAAAAGCACTGTAATAAGACAAGCATGCCGGATCAAGGTCTCTTCATGGCCGTCAGAGGACCTAAAGTGCATCTGTAGTCAAAACTCTTTTTTTTTAACATTTAGTTTTGAATAGAGTAGAGAAGGACCGAAACTCCTGTCAGGCTTTACTGCCAACGGAGTCTCCGTTGGAGAGATTCCTTCACTTCCTGTCTGGAAAAAGGTAGTCCCCCAAGACAGGAAATGAGGGGAAGTTTCTCTAACAGCAACACATACAGAAGTAAAAATATATATTTTTTTTAAAGTTAAGTAGAGGAATGGTTGTACCTCTGTCAGCTTTCTATTGTTGCTTGTTTGCTGTTTTTGCCTGCAGATTTTTCCTTACCAGCCGTGTGTTGGTGCGTGTGTGTGTCTTGCATAATAAAGACGATGAGATTAACCAGAAAAAGTTGAACTATACTGCAGTTTTTAACATCACCATCTAGCTTGTGAACCTTATCAATCACAAGGGAGAATCGATCAACCAGCCCCAAACATAACGTAAACATAAATATGCATGCACCCTATACTGTGAAATCCTGAAAGCTGTCTAATTTCCCAAAAATACAGATGAGAGTATAACAGGGATTTGAAAAAGAGATCTGCACTGCAAAAGGAATTGAGGGGGAGAACTGTAGTCATGCCCTATCAAGTGTGCAAATATAGAACTAATTTAAAAAAAAACACCATTGTGCAACATGATGCATTTTAATTCCTATTATTATTATACAACTATGGAGATTTAGGAAGACAAAAACAGTACATAAACTGAAGTAATCCATAGCAACTGGTCAGATTTCACTTGTCTATCAGTCAGTAGAATCCATGATGATTGTAGTTTGGTTGCTTTATATTGCACAGATACCTGTGCTACTTTACACTAGTAAAACACACACACACACACCTCCTGTAGGCCCATTCAGACACCAACTCATTATGTGAAGACAGATGCCCTAATTTACAGTAGATCGATGGGAAACATAGTATGCTCATGTTTTATGTAGAACCATGCTGGCTGGATGGACCCCCTGAGACTGTAGAAGAAACTCTAGGCTATTCTAGGCCTCATGCTGCTATGCAAGGTCATTCTATTATAACGAAAAGGGGAAAAAAAGGATTACTGGATGATATCAAGGATACCCTTCCTGATAATTTACATAGAGAAATCCTTGGGGCAAATTTACTCCATTTTCCTGGTTGATGGCCATACAGTGACTGAAGAGAAATCTACCCAACATAGAACAGCAATGACGTGGCAAAAGTTCTAACCTCACACCTTCAAAATCTCATTTTCATTGACATTCTTGCAGCGTGAAAGATTACAATATTTCTTTATGCTGCAAGAACGTCAATAAATACAAGATTTTGAACATATCTTTCCTATGCATTACTGTGGAGCCATCCACAAGTTGTTCCAGCACCTGATTGTTGGGGTGTACCGGTGGAAATATATCTATCAATAAAGTTCTAACTTGTTCCCACAGTTCTAAAAAGGTGCTTTCATTGTTATCCCTGTTGGAGAGATTTACATTCACTTCTGTTCTGGTGACTACACCAGAAACGAGGAGAAATCTCCCCAACAACCACAGAAAACAATACATTGAAAGATGTCCTAATCCTTCGCCTGTCTATCCAGAGCTATTGCTTGCCAGAAAGTCCTTGCTTGTGACATTAATACAGACCATCTTCTTTTAAACAGCCCATACGCTCTGATGCATAATACAGCTGGGAATAGAACATTTCAGATGGTGGCTCAGGTTTGAAGCTGGACTGTCTATCTTAAGTAAAAGAACTACAAGCAAGAACTTTCTGGTGTATATCACATTATTCCCTACATCAAACTAGTAATACGGCATTAAACTGGAACATTACATTGCTGCTAACATGGTACAGCTATTCCTATAGTAACACTTCAGTGTCTTTCCTTCGGCAATAGGGCAACCTCTAGCTTCTGGAGACATGAGGAAAGTTGAATTCATCTAGGACCGTGCTGTAATTAGCAAATGTGTGCTTGCTTTGTGCACAAGAGGACCATGGTGATGAAAGCAATTACTGTACTATCAAGTGACCCAGAGGGAAGAATTGTCAAGGATCAATAATGTAGCAAAAGTTGCTAGGGGCCAGAGATTATGACACAGTCTAGAGTCTATGTAGAGTAGAGCATTTCTATTATTTTATTAAAGTATGTGCCATTCAGAATAGCTAGTGTCTAGAAAGTACCCTCTGCTGTGGATCACCAAGTGCAGATCGCACTTCAATAGCTTATAGCTGGGCTGCAGGAGCCCAGAACTGACAGCCCAGGGACCGGAAGTGATGCAATCTGCATCGCTCCCGGTCCTATAGAACGGGGAGGGGATCGATGAATGGAAGTTCGTCGACTTCCTCCCCAGCTCCCCGTGGACAGGGCCCGTAGGAGGGGCAATGGAGCCCGGGAAGCACGGCAGGGGTGACCGCGGGGGGTCGGGATGGGGTGGCCCCTTCTTCGTGACACAGAAGCGATCTGGCGACAGGTAAGGTCGCCAGAACCGCTTCTGTTGTAAAGCCGACAGTCGGCTTTACAAGTTTAACCAGTTGACATCCGCGGTGTTAAACCCTCTTCCCATCCAGGCCATTTTTCAGTATTCAGCGATGCGGTACTTTAACTGACATTTATTCCGTCATGCAGCGCTGTACTGAAATGAATTTTATACCCTTTTTTGGGGACAGATAGAGCTTTCTTTTGGTGGTATTTATTCACCACTGGGGGTTTTATTTTTTTAATATATTAAGGAAAAATTACCGAAATTGGCAGACGGCAAGAGGTTAAACAGAGTCCCGGTGGCAATAGCCGCCGGAAGTCTGTTTAAACAGCCCCGATGCTGGCGACGTACACTGTACGTCGTCAGTCACAAAGGGGTTAAGGAACAATGGTTTACAGCATGCTGCTTATTATGCAAATGAGGACGGTTTGATCAAACCCTTCAGATCATTTTGAACTAGGATTGTTGGCAATCCTAAAATGTACCATACCTGAAGCCTGAGGAAGATCTGAGTGAATGGTTCCATTCTAACAAGGTAAGACGCCACAATCATAGCAGAACTGTAATGAGTTCCATAGTGGTATGCTGGTGTCTCTCCTGTAAGAAAATCATTAGAGTAATGTCAATGTGTGTTGTTTACTAAAATATCCATAATATAATAACTGTCACTTCCATGCCAGAGTGTGGTTATTTCCCAACGGGCGGACGGCAGGAGGTTAAACTTAAAAAAAAAAACACTTTTTTTTGTTTTTAAATTTACATTTTTCCTCACTCACTCGGTACTCTAATACCTTACCATTAGGATCCTCCCAGTCCTTGTATCGCTTCTTATACTGTGCAAGCCTATCATCAGTTTGGGCTCCCATTGGCTTGGAAAGATTTCTAAATGTTTTAGGATTTGTCAAATCCAGTTCCTTTAATAAAAATATCAAACATTTTACCATCAACAAGTTGTCTCATTTTCCAATCAAGTCATCAAAAACAAGGCTGAGAGAATGCATTTTTGTTATTATGTTAAATCTCCTAACAGTATAGGAAACAAAGTATTTTATTCATTTACCATCTGGGATTTTAATCATTTACCATCTGGGATTTTAATCATTTACCATCTGGGATGTTTTCCTCATTACATTCCACATCATATTCAGATATGCCTCTCCACCAACTCAATAAGCTATCAGCCACATGGGCATGTAAACTGCTACAATGTGTACACACAGTACACCCCTCAAATGTGGAGACACAAGAGTAGCAGACCTTGCATATCGTATCTACATAGCTGAGGACTTGAGCAGACGGTCCCTCTGTCATGCTGATGCCTTCCCATATTTTTATCATTAATTGAATGGATGCTTCAAGAGGAG